ATTCAGTGGATTGACTGTAACCTAGGTTAACACTGTGTTCGGTTAAGAAACAGTGACATAAGTTAACACTGAGTAAACAATCGATCCAGGTGGTTAACTGTGTCCAGTGAATTAACAGTGACTATAACCAAGGTTAACACTGTGTTCAGTGGATTGACTTTAACCTAGGTTAACACTGCCCAGTGGATTGACTATAACCTAGGTTAACACTGCCCAGTTGATTGACTATAACCTAGGTTAACACTGTCCAGTGGATTGACTATAACCTAGGTTAACACTGTCTAGTGGATTGACTATAACCTAGGTTAACACTGTCCAGTGAATTGACTATAACCTAGGTTAACACTGTCCAGTGAATTGACTATAACCTAGGTTAACACTGCCCAGTGGATTGACTGTAACCTATGTCAACAATGTGTCCAGTGAGTTAACAGTGGGTTTACACAGTGTCCAGTGGCACATTGAAGAGCGGTTGACAGCAGTACTCGTACTGAGTCCCATGGGGTACTCGTACTGCTGTCAGTCGTTTTTCAATGTGCTTTGCCGGGAGGCCCTTGAGGACCAAAGACTTTGTGACTGCTCTGTACTCAAACATATCCATTTCTGCTGTTTAAATAGGGGGACATGTGTAATTAGATGTCACGTGACCAGAAACTAGTAGCATGTACATGTCAATATTATGTTTATGTGAATGATATAAACAATTCTTCAATATCATACAGTTACTTTTATCATGCACATATCAGAAGTATTTTAGGCTCAAAACCTTTTGATGGTCCCTCATATCTCCCATATATTTGTTTGTTTTTTTGTTTGTTTTGTTTTCCTCAAAAGATCCAAATTTTCAGCAATGTGGTTGTCTGTTAATTATTTGGCCAGGACCAGACCATCTTGTGATTGACATCATGAGCATCAAAACATGCAACTTAGAGTCAAAGATTTGAAATCAACCTTGTCACCAAGCTGGACCACCCAATCCATTTATTCAAGTCTTAAGACAAGCATATAAAGCTTATATTTATAACCTCACCAGAAATGCCCATAGCTTGTGTGCTTTGTGATATTGCTGCAATATTGCAATAAATGGACCATCCATAATCACCTATTGACCTTATGTGACTGCATGTCAATACATGTTTCTATAATAGGGGCGGTGGTGTAGCCTGATGGTAAAGCTCTGCTCATCATGCTGAAGACCCGGGCACGATTCCCCACATGGGTACAATGTGTGAAGCCCATTTCTGGTGCCCCCCCACCGTGATATTGCTGGAATATTGCTAAAAGCAGCGTCAAATCATACTCACTCACTCACTCACTCACTGCTTCTATGATACAAGAATGCCATCCTTGTTAATCTAGTGTATTACCTTCTTCTATTTTGATATATACCCAGGGTCCAGTCTTCACTATAGCTTCATTTCAAACTGAGTCATCTTTAATGTTGCATTGGTATTATTTCAGTAACAGTACAAAGCTTTATTTCTGAAGTGATGCCACTATATCAGTCCTTGTTATCTCCAACAAGCACAGAATATTAGCTCATAATCCCGTAATCAACAACCTGCCAAATGCTTCTCCTCAAACTGAGTTTGGCATAGATCTACATTAAGTGTTTGACACTTTTTTATCAGATCAATAGCTGGTATGTGTTGCAGCTTGCCAGTAGTGAGTGAGTTTAGTTTTATGCTGCTTTTAGCAACATTCCAGATATATCATGGCGGGGGCTTCACACATTGTACCCATGTGGGGAATCAAACCTGGGTCTTTGGCGTGATGAGCGAACTGACTAGACTACCCCACCACCCCTGCTTGCCAATAAAAGATGTTTTCATGAGTAAACAGGGAAGAAAAGTAAAGCTGAAGGGGTCGTCAGCAGGGGTACTACATATGTGTACCCCAGGTACATTTCTGTATGCAGAAACGTACTCTAGACAAAATCAGTATACGGAAACATACCCTTAAGACAAGTCCATTCTCGTTGTGCCATTTTCTTGTTCGGAACAGTCATAATGCTGTATTAGATGCATTTGATTGCCCTATGTAAGAAATGGGCATACATAGTAACAAATATTTCGCAATGCACTATACCACTCGCAATCAGTTGAACAGGAACAAATACATAGGGTTCGGAATATGGATTTGTATCCCATTTAGAGTACTGGGTACGTTTCTGTATTTTTATTTTGTTCAGGGTACATTTCTGTATACAGAAAGGTACATGGGGTATATATCTGTAGTACCTGTACCAAAAACTACCCCTTCGGCAAATATGAATACCTATGCTGCAAGTAGGACTGAGATTGGTACCTTGGGTCAGGAGTCACAGTCCTGGGAAATGCGTTGGTACCCATGGGAAGACCTGGCCCAAGGCTAGTCACATGATATATCGATGAATGACAATATAACAAACAAAGTTTCATGGTTATAACGCTAATGTTTGCATTTTTTGTTGACTGTCTACTCATTTGTTCTGATTTTTATGTGTTTGAGTGAAAGTAACTTCAGTCAACTTTAAGGGATGCATGATAAGACTATTTAATATGTTTCTAAATTTGAAGATCCTGGTTAGAATTGGTCTTCAGTAACCCATGCTTGTCATAAGAGGTGACAAAGGGATTGGGTGGTCGGGCTCACATGTCATCGTATTCCAGTTGCATAGATCGATGCTCATGCTGTTGATCACTGGATTGTCAGATTCAGACTCGATTATTTACAGACCGCCACCATTTAGCTGGAATATTGCTGAGTGCAGTGTTTAACAACAAACCAACCAACCAACCTATCTAAATATTTTTAGTAAGTGGTCTGATGAAACAGTTCCCAAAGAGACATTTTGTACCCAACTGATGAGACCAGGGTTGGGTCATTTTAGAAGGGGTCAGGTACCAGGGTAGTAAATTTGTCCCAGCAATAGCTTCTATAACAAATGTTCAATTCCTTGACTTACACATTTGTTATAGCAAAGATTGTTTCAATGATGAAATGATCTTTGCTCTACTTTTGTTTCAAGTCTGTGTTTAGATATGAGAGTTACAATCATATGATCATATTTATCATTAAGAATGAATGGAAACCCCAAATAACTAAGTGAGTGAGTGAGTTTAAGTTTATGCTGCATTCAGCAATATTCCAGCTATATGGCAGGGGTCTGTAAATAATCAAGTCTGGACCAGACAATCCAGGGATCAACAGCATGAACATTGATCTACGCAATTGGGATAGGAAGACATGTGTCAACCCAGTCAGTGAGCCTGACCACCCGATCCTGTTAGTTGCCTCTTACGACAATTATGGGTTACTGAAGATCAATTCGAACCCTGACCTTCACGGGTCAAATAACTAGTGATGCCAGGACATTTAATATACATAAAATGTTTCACCTATCAAATCAGCTAATACAGTTGTACCTCTTGATGTCTGCATGGAAAGGCAGGGCATAACGTGAAAGAGTTATTGATACCATGAGCAATAAACGTCAAACAAGCACATACACCTTTTGATGTCTCAAGCTCTTCCATGCTGGGAACTGCTCATATGATGTATTTCCTTCAAAGTATTCTGAGTGTGAGTCCCATGGTAGTAAAGTGTAAGTGTGTTTATTACCATATCAGCTTTTATCAATTTGCCTAAGCATAAACAGGAACTTTGAAGCCAACAAATGCTAAAGGTTATGTTAGATGATTACATAATATATTTGTCATCACATATTCATTTGCTTTTGCTAAAAGTATTTTGCAAACATAATTAAAGTATGTGCTGCAGATTATTACCCTTTACCCATTTCTTACCAAAATGGTAAGGGGGAAAAAAAAGCAATAAATCAATATTCTTCAAATGAGTTTAATGTTTGTAAAGAAAATATAGGTTTTCAAACCTGGTTGATGAAATGTCTTAGAACTGGGCAGGCAAAATACCAGTGTTTGTTTCAACATAGCATCAGCTCATTTAAGCATGCCAAGATAAGAAGAAGAGGCTGTGATTGGCTGGCCTGAGTGATTATATGATGAACAAGATGAGCAAGCACCTGCCACACTCAATACACTGATGTTTGTGTGATTGACAAGCCAGGTTGGAGAGATGTTCATCTCTGAGAAACACACAAACAATAACATAAACAGTCTCTAAGTAGAGCATGGTCACATAGAGATTTTTGCAGACCAGCAAGTTGTTTTTAGTTATTTGATTTGAGAAGTTCATTTCTTCAAATGTTCTGCATAAAGATTAATTAAGAAGTAAATGTTGTGGCACAAGATGGATGAGGTAGGAAAGAAGCCTTGAATGTAATATATCTCTGTTTAGAGATTGTACACTGTAAATAATTATTCATGTGATTCTTGTTTTCTTCTATTTGAATTGGCTTCTTGGCTCTCATGAATGGAACGCTGTGAATAGCTGCAAAAGTGCTGATGAAGTGTAAAGCAATATTCACTTACGCACTTTCATGACTGGTCTGATGTCTGAAGTAAACAGTGAAGCATATGTAAATCTTAGTGTTTGTAGTAAATATATAACCAAGAAAGCATACAAGTCCATATGATTGTTTTAGAAAGCTTTTATGTCCATGTGATTTATGTTTGTGTTCATGTTTGTCTCAAGTAAGCTCTATGCTCATTGTGTTTAGAATGGTCTAATCTGAACATTGAGACATGTTGTTATTCACTCGGGCTCAATACGCACATATATGCTAACATTTTTTGAAACTTTCACAAATAATACCAACTGTCAACCAATTACAATGCTAAAAGGCAATTCAATACAGTTTTTATCAACACCATGGAAGTCGTGAAGATCTGTACCCTCCATTTAGCCCACAGCTAGGATTCTCCTGATAGACTGATAGACTGATTAGGGGCAGGAGATACAGGCTGGGTTTGTTTGATATGCCCAGAACCATGCTTGCTTGCCCATTCCCTCCTCCCCCTCCCATGCCAGGGAATTAGAATATGTCCTTCACTCTGGCCAGAAGCATTGGCTACATCCATGTCTTGTGCTTGTTGCAGAAATTGGCAATGACATTGATGGGAAGATTGGCAGAGAAGCAGGTCATCTCCATCTCACTGTGAGCATCAACAACTTCTGGAAGGTAGGTACATACTTCTCCTCTGCTTCTCAACAGCATCCCCAGGGTTTTCTGGGTTACAAGAGGTTGCCAGAATCCATGCTGGTCATAAGAGGCAGCTAAATGTATCGGGTGGTCAGGCTCCGCAACTTGATTGTAAGTCATTGTACCCATCTCATAATATCAGCCACTGTTATCTTGCCAAGACCTGATTATTTTTAGGGGGTTGTCACATAGCTGGAATAGTGCTTAGTGTGGCATTAAACAACAAACATAATAACAAAGCTTCATAGCTGTATGGTAGCCAACGGGAACGGGACCAATGCTAAAGAAAATACTGGTCCTACCAAACATTGCTGTAGACAATGCAAACATTAATGAAAGTTTTCAGACCAATATTGCAAATAACCAATTTCATTACAAAGGTAACATTGAGAGACTGATGTATATTTTGTATTTACTTATGTGACTAGCCATTGAGATCACCTAGTTCTCAAAGTGACTAGTCCTGATTCATGTTTGCTTATATTTGTTTAGTGGTCCGTCATATTTATTGGGACCATTCTTCATTGTCACAGTGTGACGTTTTTAGGTGCAAAATTGTGATATTGTGTTTTGTAGTTTCAATGTCAGATCTACCTTGACCTCGGTTTTAGTATCAATTTTCAGATGAATTTCTTAAAGAGGATGTTTAGGTCTTTAATATGACTTGATGCCAATAGAGTCTTTGCTAAGGTCTTGGGGCTAGTGCCAGAAGTCACAAATAGTCTTTTTGAACTCCTTATTCAATCTTAAATATATTTGACTGAAAATTTCCTCTAGAAATTTTATTTCTAGTTTATAGGATTCTGGTACTGTGTTAAATAAAAATTGCTTGCCATTGTTTTAGAAGTTAAAAATGTTGCAGAAAGTCTCTAGCATACGCTTGTTTATTAATCAGGATTGTTTGGATTCTTTTGTCAATGTCTTGTAACATATGCCAGAAATAATAACATATGAATGAAACACAGCATGAACAAGATGATAATGTTGACTCACACATGGTCAGTTGGCCACCATGTTTGAAACATGTTTAGCTGGTCACTTTACTACAAGGAGAAACTATCGATCCCTCTGTGATGGGAAATAGGAATCATTTCGGGAACTGACCTGAATTGACCTCAACTAACCTATTGTCCACTTCATTCATCAATACAGCCTCAAAATGACTTCCTGTGGCGGGGAATGTCCAGTACTCATTAGTTTAATTACAAGTGAGATGACCAGCCACTTATATTGATCCGTAGGTTTGGAGAGGAGGTCGTTGGGGTGCTGCTTCCTGATGCATTTGCCTTGGTGTTTGTGGAAGTGTGCATCATGTATGACAGCACTGATTTTACTGTCTGGTTTTCTGTCTGGTAGCAGCAGTCATGTGCCATTTAGTCAGAATATTGACATCAGCAGATTGTGTAATTGCATGTACTGTATTTATTTTATATGTATTTTGTATTCATATTGTAGATGTCTTGCAATTATCTATTTTGTTTGGTGGGTGGGGGCTTGTATATATTCAAAATATACCTCTGTTCACCCAGCTGTCAGTGGGCACCCAGTAGGATGAGATGGTAAACTAGCACCTTACAAGCACCTTGGTTTGCATGCTGGGAACGAAAACAAGTTCACACTGATGCATTGACTAGGGTAATGACACTTCAGGGCATTGCACAATAGTATGTACTTCTACATGTATCTAATGGTGGGGTTTCCTAGGGTCTTAAAGTGTTTGCTTGTCACATCAAACATCCAGGTTTGATTCCCCACATGGGTACAATGTGAGAGGCCCATTTCTGGTATCCCCTGCTGTGATTTTTCTGGAATATTGCTCAAAGCAGGATAAAATCAAAGCCTCTCACTTACTTCTATGTACCTGGTATGTAATGCTTACATCTTGTACATATCTAGGGACATGTACTCATATCAGCTGATGTTCACCCTTGACAAGGTTCCTGCTGGAATATGAGGAATCCAAGGAACAGCTGTGAAAAACTGCTCTGTCCCCAGTCCAATTAAAAACATGCAGCATGATCACGGTCACGTAGTGGCATCTACTCATGTTGGAGACACTTCTCCCTGCTATACCTCTGTTAACAATAGGCTCGGGAATATACTGCAGTTGTGTACATACCTATGTTTTCATATTAAGTGTTCTTGACAACAAATCCGATTATTGGTCCTGAGAAATCATTTCTGTCATTCCCCTGTAAATGGAAATGTTTGTTAATCTGTGTTCCTGATAGTGGGTCTGTATCAGGCGGCGCCATAATGGAAGGGGGAAACATTGAAGGGTCATCACTGCTCGTTTATAACAGGGGAAATGTCAAAGGAGGCTTGGCTAATTGGTATTTGTTGAGTTGGTGGGAAGACAAATGCCAGGAGAAGGAAGGCTATACTTTCCATATTAATAATGGTCACGTAGTCTTGTGGTTAAAGCACTGGCTTGTCATGCTTAGCATTCAGGTTCAGTGCTTCACATGGGTACAATGTGTGATGCTCTTTTCTGGTAATATGATGTAATGATATAAAGATTCAAGATATTTTATTGTACAAGACACCTCAAGGGACAAAGTACAAATCTTTACTACAAATATAACATATTTTCTTAAATCAACACTAGACTTTCATAATTTTTCACAGAAGGTCATATGTGATTACAACAGCATTTATGGGAATTATGCAGAGACAATTAATGTGTTGATGGAGGCAGATCTCCTTGAGAAAATATCACCAATAATTTGAGAAAATATTTTTGGCAGTGACCAGACTAGTATAAGGCATCCTTGCCTGAGAACTGACTTTGTTTTTAAATTAAGATCAATTTGATATGATGGTTATATTGCTGAATCGATGTGATCCCTTCTCGTCCTCCATGGTAACAAGTCAGTGTTCACATGACACTCGGGACATTAAGCCTGCATAATCAGTTATTCTGAGTCTAGAACATCACTCATGTTGTCCTGAGGTAATAACCTGCTATTGATTCTGATAAATATGTCTTTTGAATGACCAATGAAACAACCATTGTGAAAAGGATATCAAACCCATCTTGTTTTGTTACTTGCATGGCTGATGCCTTGCATGTCGCAGCTTGCTGCATTATAATGCTGAAATATGGCACTTTCTGGTTCATCTGTGTTCATTAACATGAACTTCAATGATAACTGACAAGTATTATGAAATCGATAATCAATACTATATGCAAATACTTTGATAAGTCCATTTCAGGAGGATTTTTTTATTTCTTAGTTAAAATTTCAGAATATTTTAATAAATTATAATTTTGAACACCTCCTGCCAAGTCTGTTATAGCATAAACAGCTGACTGACGTAAACAGCTGATATAACTAATAACTGTAATAAAACTCTTTTCCAAATAATGTAATGAAATACAGGAAAACTTTCCAAAATATTGTTTCACAAGTTTGTTTTGTCTTTTGTATTTCCAATTTTTCAGTATGATCACTGTTGAAAAAGCATAAAGTACATGTTATTTATATTATGATCTCTGACTCTAACAAAAAATATAAATAAACGAAATAGAAGAGAGGCATTATTCACCTGATGAAGCATGATTCCAGTGTAATGTAACACAGTGTGAGTGTGAGATAATGGAGGTACCCACAGATGTCCATGGTGTTTATTGACACGACCTCTGAAGACTACTATACAGAGAAACCTGACCCCAGCTCCCATGGTGGGCGCAGGCAGGGCACAGGTACATCAGGGGGTACTGTTACCTTTCCTGTGGTCATGCCGCAGTGTTTATTTTGGAAAGTAGTGAAATGTAACCATGACGCACTGGCTGGGGATGTAGGCATGGTACCAGCAGCTGTGTTTATGACTGGTGTTCAATGGTCGTATCAGGAAACTTCTCTGTAGATTGGGTTTGGGTGTCAAATAACTGGTACTAAAAATGGTTTATCAGTAACATGATGTTTGCATCACCTGGATCTAGATTATCTTTGTTGTTTTGACTTTGAGCTTTTACCCTTGGAATGTAGACTTTCTTCTTTAGTGGTGCAGTCAGATGGCCAACTGGTTATATGACATACAAGTAGTCACCATGCAAAATGTGCTGGAGTTTTACATGGCCAAGCATCATATAAGAATATTTTGTGATTGCACAAATTGTGACCTTCCTGGTACTACTCTTGGTTCATTAATTTCATTAATCATGTGACCGCTTCCATGGTGTAGTGGAGCGTCTGCCCGGAGAGCGGAAGGTCGCAGGTTTGATCCCCGACTGCGTCATACCAAAAGACGTTAAAATATGGTACTTGTTGGTCCCTGCCTGGCGCTCGGCATTAATGGGTACAACAAGGACTGGTCGGCTCGGAGTCAGTATAATGTGTCTTAGTGGGGTATTCATGCTTCACTTCGGCATGGTATCTCAGTGGGTTAGCACTATAAAACCAGCTTCAGACTGGGCAAGTACAAGCAGCCGCACATACACATACACACGCATGCACGTCGTCATATGAGCGAAATATTCTCAAGTACGACGTAAAACCCAATTTCACCTCACCTCACCTCACCTCATTAATCATGTTCATAGGTTTGACTAAAACATGTGAGTGGATGTCAAATAATGTTGGTTTATTATCTTAAGCAAACTATTGATTTCAAAATTCTTTGGTGATACATTACATTCAGAAGTAGTTGGCCATTTAAATGTGATAAGTATATGGTAGCCAGACAATGAAGTCAGGCTATAGTCAGCTTGGGTCATTAAAAAGAGACAATAGAATGGCCATGCACCCTGGGATAGAGAATGCTGTGCAGATCAAAAGCATGCAGAGTGACAATGAGTTTAGCTTAAAGTGAGAACAAGCTTACGTAATGGACCAGAGCTTTTGAATCAATGTTAAAGGTATACAATTGTAAAGTATAACCGTAACTGATATTCTACCCAGTAATGGAGTCACATTGCATACTGTAAGTACTGACTATACTTTAGTAAGAAAAGCAAGATTTATGGATGTCAACTTCTTTATTGTGAGTAACATGACATTTTGGAGTGTATGCTTGCTCCTTCATCAGGTAAAACTTCACAATACAAAAGTTATCATCCATAAATCTTGCTTTTCTTATGCATTCCATTTCTAAATGCCCTTCAAAGATTTAATACTTTAGTAACAAAATAGCAACAAGGTCATACAACTTGTACTAACTTCCTGGTCATAATTACAAGTTATTTACATGTTCATTACTTGACCCTGTCATGTTATAAGAACCAGTGAAAGTATGTTTGTGTAAAGTAACTTGACCTGACACTGCTGCTCACAACACAGCAATGATGATGTTGGGAAACTCAGGTTATGTGAGGACATCTTATGATTTTCTTTTGATTTGACATTTTTACCAATTTGGAAAGAAATCTTGACATTTGGGGCAACAGTCAGTTTCCAAACAGTGAAATAATCTGAAACCTGTAATGTAGAGGGCCCAGTTTCACAAGGCCGGTGTACCACTATGTCTGTCAAAAGTGTTTTTCAAGTGTACTATTCAAAACAAGCAGAGGATATTCCACTTTGAGATGATATTAGTTAGAACCAAGTTACATGATTGTATATGGATTTGGAAAATGATTTGTCCATTCATGTGTTATGAGTTCCGTGCAAACACGCCAATTTCATGCAAGCGTTTTGCATGTTCACATGACAATGATCAGGGTAAAATTCGAAATTTTCAGTCTCAGTGTGTTATTGTACATTTCAGTCATAAAAGCTAGACTGAAAGTTCTGATATTGTTTTAAACTCAAACATTTTTTTACATGCAGTGTCTGTCATGTCATGAACAGTTATGTGCTATTGGCATGTTTTAAGTTGGAACAAGAAAGAGCATTGTGGCACAAACTCTTAATATTTCATGGTCGAGTAATTAGATGATAATCATGATATTGACAAACAAATACCCAATAATGTCAATGAGAGATGTTGGCTGAGGGCGATAACTGGCCAATAGGACTGTGGTCAAAGTGCCTCTCAAATTGGAGATGAGCCTCACAGAGCTATAGGTGATACAGAGAGTGGACAGACTATTTGTAATCGGCCACATTAGGAACCGGCATGCCCGACGTCCTTGTGTTATGCCACAATTGACAGACCATCACATTACTGCAAGATATCATTGGTGTCAAGAGTGGCAGCGTTGCACCAGTTATTGTTGAGCAAACAGTATGTTTTCGGATGAACAAGGTTTACTTTGTACTTCATTATCAGGTGCAAAGGACTGTGACATAGACAGAATGAACATTTTCATGCTTTCAGAACAATTGTTTTAGGAATGGCATGGTAATTGAGTGGGATGGCATCACTGTGACTGGCAGAACACTTTTACATGTTATTCACAGATGTGTCAGTGGGCAGTACTATTTCGACAAGATCCTGGAGGCACACGTGGTGCCATTTGCACCCTGACACGGATGTCGGTTTGTGTTTCAGGATGACAATGCAGGTGCAACGTTGTTACTGAGAACCTCCACCAGGAGAACATAACCACTTTACCATGGTCAGCACGACAGTCCAGACTTGTCACCCATACACCATGTCTGGGATATCCTTGGACACCATCAAAACCACCGACCACTCTCATGGAACTAGGTGCTACCCTGCAGAAACAATGGGATACAATGATCCAAGCGGACATTCAGCATTTGAATGAATCCGTGATTGTCTGGAGAATAGAGGCGGATTCATGTCATATTAATGAGTTTGACTTTTTATGGTAAATGATGTGATGAACGGCAGGACACTTTGGCCAATCATCTAACAAAATCTATGGTCATGTGATCTTCAACAATTAATTCAAATCTGTGTCAGATGTCCCTGTTACACTTTTGAAATTTTTATGTCATCAATTATATAAAATATCAATAGTTCTGACACTTTTTTGAATATCCTTTTCTTCGTTTTTTCATTGTGTATAAATAATGAGTCCTTTGTTGGAGTTGCGAAACTTGTAGTGCTACGATGACTTTGTGCAACGGGACTGAGGGCAATCTAATTTTCCAACACAGCCTCTTTTGATGTTATCAGGAGAGCTTCACATAATGTCTTATTTCAAAGATATATCCCCTGGTGGAATGTCCACAAGCACTTTTTCTCATTCTGTTGGTCAACAAACCCTTTAGTCTCATCACTTCCTGGCAGTGTTGCATCATGGAGACTCACATGGAGATCTACAGTCCCTGTCACACCAGTCACAACAAAGGCTACAACAGTAAAATATTGGCAATCAGTTGCTGTGTAGAGCAATTTGGGGGAGGGTACTGCTTACATCACAGAAAATTGGTCATGGATATCTAGTCTCACTTCACCCAAATCATTTATTGCTTAAATTACTATTTTTGACATTTCTGGCCCATGCATGTGAGGGTTTAAATCAATTGATGCTTGACAGTTTGAAACAGATGGAGATAATATTGAAACAAGTATACTACTCATATCGTGAAATGACATTTATTCCTGTGCAGTTATAACTTTTCAGTCTGCAACTTTAGTCACTCATTCGTAGCTCAAACTTAATAAGCTCTCTTATATAAAACGGGGTAGCCTAGTGGTTAAGGCGTTTGCTTGTCATGCTGAAAACCCGGGTTCGATTCCCCACATGGGTACAATGTGTGAAGCCCATTTATGATGTCCCGGCCATGATCTTGCTGGAAGTGGTGTAAAACTAAACTCACTCACTCACAATATCAACCCAAAAATCACTCTGAATTTTACTGCAAATTATGCTAAAAACCACGAGACAAGCCCTCCAAAATTAATTTGGCACAGACTCCATTTTATGTACAATGGGTATATCTAGCCTCTCATACAAGATAGATTCCCCAGCAATAGTTTTGCAAGTTTTCATTTCTTCAAGTCCTGAAAATGAAGAGGTTCTCTGTGGTTTTTTTTCTATAGTTTCATAGACTAATTGATATTTTAGATGATATTTTAACTATGTGTATGTTTGTATATCTATTTCTTACAATGCTAGAACTTTTGATCTTGACATAAACAGAAGTTGTCAGACTATGTTTTAGGAATAGACATTGTATTTACCTTGCTAAATTATCTTATTAATTTGTCCAGGTCATCAGTTCTGACATGCATTGAGCTATATTTGTTTGGTTTATTAAACTGTAAACGCTGTCCTTTTATAAGTAACAACAACAGAAACCTTGTTTACCTCTTTACATTTTCCAGCTGATAAACCTAACCCATTTATGTTAAATGAAGTGATTTTATTGCTAACCTAAATCATTATTTCACCTTGTAACACTAAAATCTAAATAATAATACTGGAAATACATATGTATGAAATGGGTGGAACTTTTTAAAAAAAAAGTTCCCAGAGCTGCATGTACAATCCATTATTCTAAAAAAAAGTTCAAGCAAATCTGCCAGTTTGTGAGTAAGGAGTTTTTCTGTACACCCAAGTGATACGAGATAACAACCTACATGCTATCTTCTGTCATAAATTTCACACCGGTTTTGCATCATCAACCAATATATTCTGGGAACCGCTCTCAACATCACGATGAAAAGGTCTGCTATCTTATGGATAGCACTAGCCAGAAGGGTTGGAACTGCGGGAGCAGAGGTTTTCTGGAGTGTCTGATATATTCTGCTGATTCAGGCAAAATGCCAAATAGTAATCCCCTTATAATTTCTGTGTATCTTGAAATCATTGCATCTTGTTTTATTCAGTATGTCTTCGTCTATTTGCATGTCCATCCTCAACTTGAGGTACTTTGGAAGAGAAGTGAAAGCTATTGAACCAGCGGAAGCATATAACTGTTTACTTTGGCAAATTGTACTAATCATAATATTCAGCTGTTACATGAATGTAACAAACTACCTTCCTAAATATTGTCTGTGTTTGTGATTATAAACTGTACTGACAGCTCTTGGTGTGTTAATGTGGTACTCACATTTGTAGAATCCATTCATTGAAGGTCGTGTTGGCTGCAACTCACATGAGATTTGTGGAAGAGCTTATGGAGGTTGACCTGTGTATCATATATTATATCTTTTTCAGCAGTTTCTTTTCCAACCCCTACTACTGGTTATAAGAGGTAACCATTGCTATATTCTGTTTGTAGTGAGTAGACTGGTTGTAATCTGCCACTATTATGGATTGGATGGTTGTTATGTGGCAGCTGGATATAAGTGGATTGTAGATGATTATCATTTGCAACTAATATGGATTGGATGTTTTTGTGGCAGCAAGATGGATTATCATTTTCTTTGATTGGATGTGTTTTGTGGGAGCCATTGTGGATTGAATAATAATCTGCAACTTAGTAACTGTGGATTGGGTGGAAAGTGTGTCAATTAGTGTGGCTTGAATAATAATATGCAACTAATGTGGATTGGATGAAAATTGTGGCAACTAGTGTGGATTGGGTGGAAAGTGTGGCAACTAGTGTGGATTGGGTGGAAAGTGTGGCAACTAGTGTGGATTGAATAATAATCTGCAACTAATGTGGATTGGATGGGTTTTGTGGCAGCTAGTGTGCATTGGATGCTTGTAATGCTGGTTTTGATTCCCAATTATTACTTTAAATGACCAGACAGATTCATAGCCAATGCATTACTTGTTAACTGATCTGAATGTCTGATGGAAATTGCTTCCAGCCTTGTTCGAAGTTTGAAATCTGTTTTACCAGAGCCAACATTTTTCATCGACCCAATTCCAAGGAAAACCATTCCTGTTGCATATTCAGTGTCATGACCTCCAGTGTTCAGATGGATGACACTGGGCATAGACTCATATTCAATGAACCCAATATATTTCAACCGTTACACAACCTAGAAATGGTGGGTTACGAGGGGAGCAGTGGGAGACTAAAAGTGAAGCCTGATCACCAACATTGAGTAATCAATGGATTTTATTGATGCAGCCATTACCATGTCTGGTCCAGAAATATAATCATATCCTGTCTTGTCCCACTGAGCAGCAGCCATAGACCATTAATGAAAAGTCGATTGGCAAACTGAGATGAACATCGCAGAAAGACTTTGTCATAATAAAATTCTTTTCTTCTCAAAATGGGATTTATGTTGCCAGTTTCAGAATCCTACTACATATTTGGTTCTAATTTGTTTCATTCTTTTAATAGATTTTGGAATTGTTTCACTTCTGGTCATATCTCCCAAATGTCAAATGCCACCAAGTTCCATGTCTGCTTAAGAGATTATTCCAAATGGAAGCCATTAAGCTATAAAAGTTTTATAGATCATTTTAGGGTCTATTACCTTCTGTCGAGCTCTTCCACTAATGGATTTGTGGTGTGAGGTATGAGTACAGTGCTATTAACGGCAGTATACCTGAAAACCAATTATGCCACTGTCACACATTCACAGTGAAGTTTGGTTTGTCTTTCGGGAGGTTTGCTTTCCAGCACCTTCTGTTTGCTGGTTAGGGGCCCTAAAAGGATTATAACTTTTGGAGCATTATTTATCATATTGATCTAATTGGAATAGACCGTATTTGCCCTTATGGAAGCCCCAAGCATGTGCTGAATTTGAAATTTCATAACCTGGTATGTTTCGAGGCCCAGTCTCTCCTTTTAATGATTCTATAAACAATGTAAATCATTCATTTGATGGTTTGATAGACCCAGATTCCACTAATTTAATAAACTAACCATATGTGGAGCCCATTTCTGGCCGTATTATTGCTGGAATATTGCTAAAAGCAGCATAAAACCATACTCACTCACTAATGAACTAACTTAAGTTATAGCAAAGAAGCCCATGGACAAGATAGTAATAGTCAAGGCAAGGCAACTGCAATGATAAACTTGGCACCTTTCTGCTGATATGTCAATTTCAATAATGTGTAAATTGCCTTCTACTAAACTATAACAGATCTGACAATAGATGTCTGACCGCAAATACACATGTGACCTCTAATATACACCTGACCTTAAATACATGTGTGACCTCCAATACACTCCTGACCTGACCTTCCTGTCTACCCTTTGATGCTTGACCTCCATTATGCACATAACCTTCAACAGCCGCCTGATCTCCAGTACATACCTGACTTCCAAACGTTGCCAGGTTTCCATCAGAAATAGGCCCTTTCAATAAGGATGTCAAAACTGAATTAGATTTAGAAACATAAAGGCTGGGTCTAAACAAAACACAGATTGAAATCTGTTGAGATAGTGGTGCCATGTTTATCATTGCAGTTCTTCCTTGCCATGGCCATTACTATCTTAGTGTGTGGGACTTATTAGTATAACTAGGGTTAGTTAATATTTTGGCAAAGATGGTGATACTTATCCAAAATTAAGCTTATTACATTTCTTATAGAAAAAAAGTTGATAGGGTGAAATGGTACACCGTGGTATTAGTAGAACAGTGGTATTTTGCCTTTGGTTCGGTATACCGTAATGCAAACCAAAGATTCAGTATTTTCTTTTCTTGTACCGTCATTTTATTAACCTTTTTAAACATTTTCTAAAATGTCTAGAAATCGAATCATTTTGTTCCATGTTATTAAACAATGTAAGGTTTGGCTCTTGTTGTCAATTTTCTGAATTATGATCATATCACATATACCAAACCTAAACGGACCGAACCGAAGGCCTTGTACCACAATAGTACCATACCATGGTAAGAGCGTACCGTTTCACACATAGTAAATGCATGACCTATGAGACCAGCTTAACCAGCTGCTCATATGGCAAAATAAGATCACTCATGTTGAAGTAAAGAACTCAGTCACAAATGTCTGTTTCACAGGTGTAATTATTGAAATATTACTGACCATTTTCACTTAATTCTGGAGGTCTGGCTCAGCCAGTGTGCTACAGTGAAGACCATTTAAGTTTCATTGGAATTTCCAGTCTGGAATCAAACTCAAAAAGTGCCATGAAAATATTCTTCATGCACTGGA